CCAGGTGTGCGGGGTGGCCCGGTGGGCGCCGGCGCCGCCCGCGGGTGAGCCGCGAGGTCAGGCGGAGCGTCCGAGGGCAATACCTGCACCGAGTGGCCAGCGCAGCTACAAAGACGCGGCCCCGTGGGTGGTCCTGGGCGCCACGCCGCGAGGTGGACGGACGAGCGCCCAGACCCCGCCCGGGCGGCTCCCCCGGGACAAGCGGGCCAGGCCCTGCGCGCCCCCCTGAGACCTGCGCTGTAGGGAGGAGCTGCGCCCCGGCTCCCGGGTGGGGGTGCGGCCAGGTGCTGAGAGACGGGTGAGGGCGCGGGGCCCGGGGTAGCTTCCCGGTCGCCGGAGCTTTGCGCCGGAAGCAGGTGGTGTGTGTTTCTATTACGAGACGACAGGCGAGAGGAGAGTGTGGCTTCCGACAGGCTCAGCTTTGGGCCCGGGCAGCGGGCAGACCGGGGCACTGCCACCCCCGCCCCCGCCCCGCAGTGATGGTGCTGCGTGTCCTCTCAGGTGCGAAGAAGTGGCTGGAGTGGAGGAAAGAAGTCGAGCTGTTGTCCGATGTCGCCTACTTTGGCCTCACCACGTGTTCAGGTAGCACCCCGGTGCGACCCTGGGGCTGACGGCAGAGGGAGGGGCTTCCCAGGGTCCCTGGAAGGGGACAGCCTCGGAGGAGGGGACCAGAGACCCTCCCGAGAGGGCAGGCCAGGCCCCGAGCCACACCGGGGGCCCCTGGAAGCTCTGACGGTCACCTGTCATGTCTGCGTCCCTGGGCACCTTTGTCCTGGACCCTCTCAGTGGCTGAACCCCGTGGCCCAAGAGGGGTCCCTGCACCGATCCCCGATCCCCGTCACAGGAAAGGCAGGGACCCTGTGGAGTGCGAGCCCCACTGCAGCGAGAGGGAGCTAGCTGGCGCCCCGCCTCGCCTCTCACGCGGTGTCCCCCACCCCCAGGCTACCAGACGCTCGGGGAGGAGTACGTCGGGGTCGTCCAGGTGGACCCGTCCCGGAGCCAAGTGCCGTCGAGGCTGCGCCGCGGCGTGCTGGTCGCGCTGCACAGTGTCCTGCCCTACGTGCTGGACAAGGCCCTGCTCCACCTGGAGCACGAGCTCCAGGCTGACGGCGGCGGCCCCCGGCCCTCACAGGGCAGCCTGACTCCCGGCGTGCGCAGCCGGTCGGGGGTGAGGCGCTGGCTGCGCCGGCGGGCAGCCGCCCTGACGGAGCAGCAGAGGAGGGCCGCGCTGCGGGCCGTGCTGGCATTCCGGTGGGGCCTGGGCTGCTTCCAGCGGCTCCACGTCGCCTGGTTCTACGTCCATGGTGCCTTCTACCACCTGGCCAAGCGGCTCACTGGCATCGCCTATGTGAGTGCGGGCACCACCCACACTGCTCCATTCGGGCTGGTCCTCTAACAGCTGGCTCTTCAGGGCCTCTGGGCTCGCACAGCTGCCAGCAGGGGCCACAGTCCTCAGCTGGGCTGTTAGGCCATGTGTTGCCGAAAGACCTAAGGAAGTCATTTCCACAAAGCCTGCAGACAGGGCGTGTGTCTTCCTGTAGCCGCGTGTGCGGGCCACCCTGGGCTCCAGGCCTGGCGCCCGGCTCTTTACTCAGAACGGGTCTGCGGCCCGAGCTCCTGGGTGTCACGACTTCCTTCCAGGCTGCTCTGAGGGAGGGTCAGGTGTAGGGACGTCTTCCTGAGGGCGACCCCAGTGACCATGTGGACCCCGTCACTGCAGCATCCCCGCTTGTCCTGCCTGGTCGGTGCCCAACTGCTCTGCTGGACAGCCACTCACACCTGCTCCTACCCTGGCTCTCAGCCGATGCCCTTGCTTCTGGATTCCCCCAGAAAGCCTCCCTCAGGGCCCCGCCTGCCAGAGCGTGCCCAGGCTGGCTCTCCTGGCTCGCTCTCCGCACCACTCTCCCTGTAAGAAAGGCCCACCCAGCACTCCCTCCGCCTCCCTGGGCAGTGCTGTCCTGGGCGCCTGTACCTCCCTGCTCTCAGCCCTGTGTCGGTCTTCAGCGTGCTCACTCACAATGCTGACGGCTCGTCACCCCTCGGTGTTAAAGAGTGTTTGCTGAGCTGGAACCACGGGCTCAGCCCAGTGGGCTGTTCCCCCTCCTGGGCCATCTGGGGCTGCCAAGGGCTCTTCTCTACACAGGCACCCGGGACCTGGCCACCTAGCTGCCCCCATTCCCAGCCAAGGGAAGGGAGACCGCAAGTGGAGAGCAACCAACCCTCTCTTCAAGGATGTGGCCAGAAGCTGCACCCATCACTAGCTGCAGGAGAGGCTGGAACAGTGTCACCTGGGTAGCATAGGGTCACCCGCCTGCCAGGTGCCTTCTAAAAAGCGGAGAGCTTCTGTCCCTACAACAGAGGAGCTAGCTGGCAGTGTCTGCCATGTGGGCTTCTCCTGCCCCGTGGGGTGCTCCTCAGGCCGGCTCCTTTCGCTCTGAAAGGTGGGGCCTTGGATCCCCGTCCACCCCAAGTCCTCACCTGCAGCCACAGTGGCCTGCAGACTCCAAGCTCTGTGCACATCTTCCTGGCTCAGAGCTTGGCTCCCGTCAGAAGTGAGGGCCGAGCTGTCCAGTAGCATCCCTCAACTGCCCACCCACCCAGTGCTTAGGCCCCTCACTCAACTGGGGACCCCAAGGTCATTGTCTGTCCCTGTGTGCCAAGAGGGCAGTTTGGCCTCATTTGATGGGGCACCCAAGTGGTGGGGGAGGCGTGGCCCCCTGCACTGTCTTCGTGCCTGCTGATCACATGGCTGTCCCCTCTGGGTCCTTGACAGCTCCGCACCCACCGCCCACCTGCAGAGGACTCGCGGGCTCGTGCAAGCTACCGGCTGCTGGGGTTCATCTCCCTGCTGCACCTGGCATTGACCGTGGGCCTGCAGCTCTACAGCCTCCGGCAGAGGCAACGTGCCCGGCGGGAGTGGAAGCTGCACCGCGGCCTGTCTCAGCGCAGGTGTGCGGGGCCGGCACCAAGGGCACGGGGTCTCAGCTCGGGCTTGTCGCTGGCCTCTAGGGACCAAGTACCCCTGCGCTCAGCAAGGCCTTTGAGGCTCACCGTCCCCCTTCCCCTGCAGGAGCCACACAGAAGAGAAAGCAGCATCCAGGAAGTCCCTATGTACCCTGTGCCTGGAGGAGCGCCGGCACTCAACAGCCACGCCCTGCGGCCACCTGTTCTGCTGGGAGTGCATCACCCAGTGGTGCGACACCAAGGTCAGCAGCTGTGCTTCTGGTGCAGGCCCCGGGCAGGTGTTCCAGCCAGCCTAGGCAGCCCCTGCAGTCAGGAGCTTGCCTCTGAAACCTCAGGTGGGGCGGGGGGCATATTTTTAAATGCCTGGGTAGCCAGGTACAGGGCTGTATCATGCAAGGGGTGCCATGGCCATGTTGACGCTTTACCAAAAGCAAGCTGGAGCAGCCACTAGTTCCCATCAGTGTCCTGGCAGGAATTCCGTTCCCGGGAGGCCTTGCTGGGCACCTCTGGCCCCCCCTGGGAAGCCCTAGCCTGCCTGCACACTGGACCCTTCTCCTGCTGGACATGCACCTGCCCTGATTGCCCACATGGGAACCCCCGAGGCACAGAGCCATCTGCCCTGGCCTTTTGAGACCTCGGGATATTGGGGTGTACTGAGCCAGGTGGCTACAGCGGGGCATGCCGTGCCACCTCGCACCTCCATGCTGACTCCTGGAGGGGTCTGCTTCCTGGACCCCATGTTCCTGTGCCGCATCTGCTGGCGAGCTCAGCCCACGTCCAGCTTCTCTGGGGTTGGAGCGGGAAGGGCCACTCAGGCAAGGCTGGTAAACAGGGACGTGGTGCTCACCTGGTTTCCTGCAGCATTTCCGAGCTCGGAGCCGCTTCTTACCCGAGGACATTTGTGTCTGCGTCAGGTGGGGGGGGACTCAAGGGAGCTGCAGCCTCCGCCGGGCTGGAGCTGATCTAGAACCCGTGCCTGGGTCCCGTTCCTGCCTTTTGGGACCCTCAGGAACACGGGCGCTGCCTCCCCTCTGCGTGGGCTCCAGGGGGTGCCTGGTAGGCAAGAGGCTGGCCTTCGGCCAGAGGGGACTTGGCCGGGTTTCAGCCAGGTGCTCCTTAGGGATGGGACAAGGCCTAAGGAGATGGGGCACGGGACAGGCGTGTTCTTCCCAGAACCTCTCGAGGAGCTCAGGCAGCCACAGTCCAGCAGCTTCAAGACCCCTGTGGGCCTCTGCGTCCACTTCTCTCAACACAGCTGTCAGGCGCAGCAGAGCCCCCTCGCCCTTCCCCAAGTCACCATGTGGACAGGCTGGCTGTCTTCTCGGCCTAGTTACTTCCCTGCCCCTCTTCCTAACCGCCCAGGTTAGGGCCTTCCCTTCAGGCTTGCTACTTCTGAAGAAATGCCGATTTTTTTCCTGTCTTAAGTTGAATAGAGGACACCCCGTGTTACTGGAGATGCCAGTGGGGGAGGGCCTGTGGTGGTCTTGCAGGGGACACAGCCCATGTGACCTCTTCCTCTCCCCCCCAGACGGAGTGTCCCCTGTGCAGGGAGAAGTTTCCTCCCCAGAAGCTCGTCTACCTGCGGCACTTCCGGTGACCAGAGAACAGAGGGACCCGGGAGTCACCTAACATCAGGAGAAAACTTGTTTCTCAAGGTTAACTTTATTTGCACAGAAATCATAAAATCCTCCAATTTCTTATTTTTGTCATATCAGATGCTGTGCTAGCAGCTCAGGACAGGCTGGACAGCTGGTCTGAGGCTTCCAGGGCCAGGTTTGGAAGGGGCTCCACCCAGCTCAGTTACCGAGCCGGTGGATGGTGACGGCGAGACACTGCGGGCCTGTTTCCCCTGCCCCCGCTCCCATACAGCCAAGTCAGTTCAGGAACCTCACTCCTTAGAACAAGGCTCTAGGCTTCCGCTCCCTTCCCCAAACCACAGCTGAGAACTATTTTCAGGAATGGGCCAGGACATGCTTTATTCACTTATATTATCAGAAAATGAGCCGACATCAGCCAGATGGTAAGGGTTTGGCCTGAACGTGCAAGTGTTGAGCGAGCAGAGAACGCAGCTGCTTTTGGCAGCAAGGTCAGTCGGCCAGCACCCACACCCCTGGACCTCGCCTGTCACCAGAGCTGGCTCCTGAGTGGCCAGGAGAAACCAAGGAGCCCTATTTCTAAGATATTTGGCATGTACCTCCTAACACGTGTCAAGTTTGTGTGCCGTTCCGGAAGTGGAAGTCTGCACCTGGGCCCTACGCCGGCCCGGGGTCTCCTCTCGCCCGCCCAGGGCTCCTGGAGAGGCAGAGCCAGCAGGGGGGACAAGTTCCATCTTCTAAGGCCAAACCCACAAACCACCACAGAGGCCGGTAGGCAGGCTGGCTCCACCATTAGGTCACCTATGTGCAGCCTACTTCCTGCCACCTTTTTTTTGTTTGTTTTCGGGGTTTTAACACTAACTTGTAGAAGAGAGAGGACTTGGCCATCCTTACATAGGCATCCTTACGAACAAATCCCACGAGTGCTGGTACATTGAGGATACCGTGAGGGTGAAGTGAAACTCGGGTTCCGTGAAGCTGGTGTAAAGCGTCCTTCCGGGGGTGACCTCTGCTCCAGCTGTAACGTCCCCCCGGGGGAGGGGGGGCAGCACAGACGTGTGGCATAGGCCTGCGCTCCTGAGTGCGACTTAGCCGGTGTCCAGGAATAGACACAGCTCGGCAGCCTCGTTAACAAAGGTCATGGGGAGTTGCCAGACAAGCTGCTGTGACCATGGCCCAGCTGACCTCTAGACAAGGAGCCCCCTGTCCCACTCTTGAAAATCTTTAGTCATGCTCTGACCGAGCACACACAACTTCCCAGCAGGCACCTTAGGCCTGAGCATGGACTAGGGAAGCCATGAAAGGTGCAGCTCTCTAGAGCACGGCTGTGTCGAAGCCACAACGCAATGGAAGCACCAATCAGAATCCACAATCAGGTTGACAAAGGTTTTCACATGGCCTCTTAAAAGCCAGAGGAGCTCAATTCCAGGTATGCAAAACCTTGCAAAAGAAAAGGCACAGCCAGCAGTCGTCTGACTACGGGAAACTGATTATGGTGACAAGCGAGCATACCCCCTCTGGACCAGGGACAAAAGACTGACTTCAGTGTCTGCCCCAGTGACAGCCAAGGTCACATCCTGTTGGTCTTGGCAAAAAACGGTTCTGATGGGCAGCGAGCTGTAGTGTTAGATAAAGACTACACAAGAAAGGGGACACTGTCTTTAATAAAGTTGGAATTAAAAAGTTACTTAGCAAAATGTTTACGAGTACTGGTTTTTCTCACATCAAAAAGTTGACATGCGTGTCAGTTGTTTCCCCAGAAGGTGAAAAGCATATCAGAACCCACAGAAGTGGCTGCTCTCACCAGGCAGCTGTTTCTGCGAAGGGGCTGCTGCATGAAAACATTTAAATTAATCAAAACAACTCTGTATGAAATATGTCAAAATAATCTCAAACAATTAAAATATAATATATATTTATAATTCCAGGCCTGAAGCAGTCATGTAGGTATTAACAAAGTTTTGAGTCACTATGATAGAGGCCAACTTGATACATCTCTGCGGAGATGAAATTGGGAAACTGGCATGAGAACCCCAACACTTCTGGAAAGTCACCTTGGAAGTGTTGTTCCTTCCCACACACGGGACTCAGGTGAGCATCACCCTCGGGCTGGGCGACGGACTCCGGGCATCCCTGGGAAGGGGGGGCTGGGTCCTTCCACGCCCCCCCCCAGCCCCGCCCGACTGTCCGCCCAGCCTGTGGCTCACTACAATTCTGTCCATTTAAACACCTGAACATCACTAAAACAAATCAATGCAATGCAGGTTAAATGCCAGTTTCTTCAAGAACCTGATATTTCAGTTACAAACAATTGAAGCTCCTTTTTAGAAAGAAAATCCGACCCCTGGTCATCAACTACTTTATGTGGAGGAGGAAGGCGGCGTTACAATGGCTCCAACCCGCCTCGGGCTCCGAGGGCCGGCTGGCCTGCGCGGCGTCGGCCTGCGCGGCGTCTAACTCGCGAAGGCCTTGCCCGCATCCTCCTTCCCCTTGTACGTCCTCTTGCCGTGCGTGAACGGGATGTACCGGTACTTGATCATGTGCTGCGGACAGACAAGACACACTGGTTTCAGAACGGCTTCCCAATGGACCACCTCAGCTACATGTCAGGCGATGAAACCAGGACTCCAGCTATGAACCTCCAGGCCCCACCACAAAGCCCTCGCTGCCCGCTGGGCCGGCTGAGCCGGCGGGAGATGCCCAGGATCCAGGAAGGGGCCCCTGTGTGCAAGATGGGCCCCAGTCAAGCTGCACGGTCATGTCTGCCCAGGTCCGCTTTAGAGTAGCGTGGGCATAACCCTGTCCTCGTCCAGCAGGTCCTGACTGACCCACAGGACGCCATACCTGGGACAAGGGCACAGCCCCCCAGAGCTGCCTGCCAAGGGCCAGTTCCCGGACCCTGGGCTGTGGCACAGCTGTGCTGGCTGGCCTTGGTGGAGGGAGGTGGGACACCGTGTGCCCATCCCGGGCCTGTACGGAGCTTCCTGCCACTGCCTATGCGTAAGCGGCAGGCCCTGCATCACCCTCCACATCACAGGCCTGAGCCCACGCCTCCCAGTGCCCCTGGCCGGGGCCTGCCGCCGTTCCTGGCTTTACCTTGATCTGCCTCTTCATGGTGATACAGAAGAGCATGATGAAGTACATCACCAGGATGGGCCAGAACACAGGGACGTTGAATGCCTCGAAGAAGGTGCAGACCATGGCCACCAGGATGCCCTTGGTGGCCGCGTGCCTTAAAGGAAAGAGGAAAGGTCAGCTCCCGGCAGCGGCACAGCGTCTGCCCACAGGAGCGAGCTGGCCCTGCGAACATGGGATGTGTAGCGTGCTACGTGCAACCACAAACGCAGCTTAGTCCCTTGAAAGCTCCACATTTTCTTCTAAAATAACACAAAGTGTGGGACCGGCTGAGTGGCTCAGTTGGTTAAGAGCTCGCTCAAGAGTGTGAGCTCTGAGCAACAGCGGTTCAAGGCCCGGCCCGAGCTGAGCTGCCAACAGGTGGCAGGATGGCTCAGCTAAAAAAATAAATAAAATAACACAAAGTGTGAAACACCAAAACACCAGCGAAGAGGCGCTGAGGCCAGCAGCTGGGGACAACTCAGATGTGTGCTCTGCCCAAGCCTCGTGTCAGGCCCAGCCTGCCATCTGGAGCTCACCCCCGTCCGAGCCCCACATGCCCTGGCCGCTCCCCCCTGAGCTAGGCAGTGTTCTGGGGACCAGGCAGCACCAGGGGCGCCCGCCCACCAGGCTCGCGGCCCACATGCTATCCTCCCTGGATCGCCCCTTCCTACAGATCAGAGGCCAGCTTCCGGGGGCTGCCAGAGCCCCAATCTCACCTGCAGTTCACGCCCGTTCCCCCACACAAGCTGAGCACTGGCCAGGTCCCGCATGCAGCACCCCAAGTGCAAAGCAAGATGTGGCAGCTCACTTCCTTCAGGTTTTTTTTGGTGTTTTTTTAAAAGATTTTATTGGGGAATTGGGGGAGGAGAACAGTGTTGGGGAATTGGGGGAGGGAAACAGTGTTGGGGAATTGGGGGAGGGGACCAGCCAAGTTGCTGTTCTTCGGTCTTAGTTGTGGAGGGTGCCAGTCGCCATCTGGCTGCCCGTCGGCAGCTCGTGGCCTCTAAGCTCAAGGTGCTGTGTTACAATCTTAGTTGCGGGTGGGCGTAGCCACCATCCCATGTGGGAGTTGAACCAGCAGCCTTGTTGTTAAGTGCGCACACTCTATCCACTGAGCCACTGGGGCCGCAGCTCAGCTCAAGGTGCCGAGTTCAGTCTTAGTTGTGGGTGGGCATAGCCCACCATCCGAACAGGCAATCTTGTTGTTACACCAGCTGAGCCATCCTGCCACCTGTTGGCAGCTCAGCGACAGCTCAGCTCGGCTGCAGCGTCACTGGCCCATGTGGGACTTGAACCGGCGGCCCTGTTGCTCAGAGCTTGTGCTCTTAAGCCAACTCTTAACCCACTGAGCCACTCGGCTGGCCCGCTTCCTTCAGTTTTTGATCCAGCAAATATAGGATAGACCAGGTCACAGAGCCCCACACCTCTGACAGTGGGAAGGGGGGGTCACCTATGTCCACCTGTCACACTCACCCTTGTCACGACATCACACAGATGTCGCTGCCTTAGGAGGTCCAGGGGACAAGCCAACCCTCATCCCAGAGTGTGGCACTTCCAACGACAGCAGCCGCCCTGAGGCTGCGCCTGTCCAGACACACTGGTGGGCAGAGAGCCACGTGTGCCCAGAGCCGAAGGCGCACCTGTGTACCTGTGTGCCTGCAGCAACGCTCGGCCAGCGGTCTGCGAGGCAGGGTCCAAGGCTGGCCGGGCCGCCAGCCCTCCCGAGGCAAGCCTGCGACATACCCAGGGGCCGCACTCTCCTCCGGAGGCCCCGCAAGCGCAGCCCTCATATTCTGGGGGAACCAAGGTCCATAACTCCTACTTCATAAGAAGCCTAACTCGCTGGCCAATGAGAACAAAAACAGTCTGTTCACAGTCTGATCACCCACACCTGAGACCAAGTACCTGCGGAATTAACTCACCAAAATTTAAACTCTGGAAGTCTCCGAATGAACGGCCGGAACTCTTCGTTCTGTTTTGTCGGTAGCGAGGGCCCGTCATCTGCAAGGCAGAGCGTCCACCAGAGAAAGCGGGTGTCACCCTTTGTTTCCATGACTACAGTTACAAGTTTCTCCCTAGCGCTTGTGCACTAATGCATCAAATACAGATTGCTGTCATTTAACCAAAGACCAAAAGGCTCTTTAGTTGACTCAGAAATCAAGTCTTTGCTTTAGTAAGTTTGTATGAGAACTTTTGCAAAAGAACTGTACACTTCACAGGGTTGTATAAAGGTTCAACCACACACCGATTCTCAGCACACCAACTGCACTACACAGAGGCAGGGAAGGCAACACAAGCGGACATTTACACGAATGGGGATGCACGCCGGGGAGGGTGTCTGCTCTCCAAAGCCTTGGACTGCCGGGGAGCGACACCCTCCTCCAAGCAGAGCCAGGCCCCTGGGCTGAGGCTCACCCACACCTCTCACCTCACCTCACCCCCCAAGACAGGCGCCTCCCGTTACAGAGCAACTAGGCCACAGACAGGGCCTCTGAGGTACTTTCTAGTCCTCCCAAATGGCAACATTAAATGAAAGGGTTGTGTTTCCTTTAATACTTTCATTAACTATTCTAGAAAGCAAAACCACAGGCTTCTGGTCACAATTTGAAGTCTCGAGAAAATAACGAGCACTCAGCGTCTCTCCCCTAATAGGGGTTCGACGGGCAGAGATGCACCCCGGCTTTTCCAACAGTGGCAGCAGATGTCTAGAACTCCTAAGCATGGCCAGGAGCGACGTGAACCAAGATATTTTCACCCCACCATCCTGGGAAATCAGAGAGCACCCGCCTCCACAGGGCTGCCCATCAGCGAGCAGTCAGGGTCCCTGTGAGCTGCCCACGGAAGCCTCTGGTTACCCTGGCGCCGTGAGCCGGGGCCTAACTGATGAGAGTGCAGATGCCTGAGAGGCAGGCGGGCTGTCTGGGAAGGAGGCTCTGGAGTCAGCAGCCCAGGTCCCAGCCCTGCTCCACTCGCTCTGCCACGCGACCCCAGGCAAGTCACATGACCCTGTGTGCCTCAGTTTCCTCATCTGCACTTCAGAGAGGACGGAGGGAACGCCCACCTCACGTGTAAGAGGGTGTAATGAGTCATTCTACAAACAAACTTATCGTAATCCCCAAGTACTAGGGACACTTTCAACACCAAGAGGACAGTCTCAGAGTCTGGATTTCCAATGTTTCCAGAGAAAATGGAGCAACCCTGTGACGTACACAAAATCACAACCCTCCCCAAAGCAACAGCAGAGCAGGCCGACGCTCCTCTACCTGAGTCCTCCATTAAGGAAGGGTCCACTTTTGGAGAAAGGAAAGCTATGAAGAGGTTTAGGTGGTAGATCCCCAAGGCGTAGGTGACGATGTACCAGCCCTGCAAGAAAAGCAGCACAGGTCAGTGACACGCCAGCCACCCCACACCCTGAACCACCCCATTCACAGCCCAGAACCTCAACCCAGTTTTAACTGAACTCAGAAGTGCACAGGTTTACCCCACGGCAGGGAACTTAATGACAAGTGACATCAAGAGTAGGGACGTCCATGGTGACAGTTTGTCTTGAATTGCTCTGTGGGTCGTGACAGTGGGCAAGCCAGGGGCGTCCCGTCAGATGCACAAAACACCTGAAGCCACCAGGTCCCCCAGGAGGGCAGCAGAAAAGGTGGGATTCTCAAAGCCATGTGACCAAGCTGCACCTTGGGGCTCCTCAGGGGCAGGGCAGCTGGGCACTGAGCGACACTAGCGCACATGCCAGGTGCAGACACCCTGCCCTCAGCCAACGGCCATCTGAGCTGGGACACCACCACTTGAGAGGTGCCGGCCGACACCCCCCTGGGCCTGGAGCTGTGACCACACTTGTCGGGAGTGTTCCCAACCTCTCCCAGAAGACATCCAGGGCCAGAACGTGAACAAGTCCGAATGAGGTTAAACACGTTTTGCAGCCAGCCCTGGAGGCGTGAGGCCAGCGCCAGGTGTACATGCAACTCGCCCTGCACCCTATGTCTGCTTTTAGCCACGGAAGGTCTGCCCATGATGAAGCAGAACTCACTGCACTGTCGGTTTTACACGCTAACAATTCCCACACAAACACAGTGAGATCTTTCTGCCTTAAAACTTTTCAAGTCAGAAAGCTGCAACTAGACTGAAAAGTCCGCTTACTATTCACACAGCTTCAGGATGCAGGGCTGAGCCTGAGGGATGCCCGTTAGGTGTGAGCTTGGTTTAGAACTACCCTGTGAGACACGCTCCACCAGAACTCCCTGAATAAAGTTTCTAGGTCACTCTTTCCATTAGAGGACAGACCAAGTTCTGATTTTAAAAAAAACTAAATTCAACATGAGTTTTCAACAGCCTGTGGGCTGGTGCTGCCACAGTAACCAAGAGAATGGCCCCAGCGCCCCCACAGAACTGTGCTGGGGTTCCGCACGGACAGCACAATTGTATGAACATCCAAGAACATGTTTCTCCATTTCATTTAAGAGAGACGTCCCAGGTACTGATGCATTGTAGCAGCCAGTAACAAAGGTGTCCACCTAGGGACTACATCTTCCTCGCTCTTGCAAAGACCTGGAAGGAAGGTGTTTGCTTTAAATGAGGAAACATCATTCCCAGCTCCAGAGGAGGAAAAACGCTGGACAAGGCCTTGAACCTGCCTTTCTTTGGACACAAGGAAACATTACGACCTCCTCTCAAGAGAATTTCCATCTAGAAACCAGGTGGTCCCAGAGAGTAATGCACACCAAGGGTTAAGTTGGAGAGGATGTCCCCTGAGCCAGAGAGAAGCCCCTCACAGCCACCGCCAGCCTGCTCTCTGGTCTTGCACTCAGCTGGACCACCTGCACTCCCCTCCTCGGCCTCCTAAAATGTGTGGCTCAAGCAGCTACCCCCGCAGGAGCCAGCATCGCTTATGGAACCTAGGGAATGAGGTGACTGGTCCAGAAGGGTACTTTGTCCCCAGACCAGGAGTCCCGAGGTGGGGGAGGGGGCACCAGAAGGTCCACTGTCCAGACCAGGAAAGTGGAGAGGACGGAGGGGCGCCGTCCGTTTTTCAGTGGGCCCCAGACTGCCGCTAAGACTGTCCTGGGAACAGTGTGACAAACACAGGTTGAACTGTAAATGATCCTAGTTGAAAAGACAGTCACTGAAATTTTTCTTACATTTGGTACTTAACTGAAAGTGATCAGAGACCAGTTCCTTTACCATCAACCCACCTAATCCAGATACAGAAGCAAGAACCGACATCCCAGCCAACACCACATTCGCATAAGGTGGAGACGCCACGTCTCATCGCAGCCACACCTACCTGCAACAGGTAGACCCGAATCATGTAGACAAAACTCAGGCCCAGCGTCACCACCCATCGCACAGCTGTGTAAGGTGTGGACTTGTCTAGCCAGGACTGATAGATCTAGAACGACAAGAGTTCATGCACGTCTCAGACCCTGCAGCTCCTACGGCCAAGTGCACGTCCTACTTCAGAATGGAAGTCAGCCGTCCAAAGCCGGGACGTCGACCATCAATCCCCAACTGATATGCGGTACCTGAGGCAGGGCCATCCCTTAGCAATCGAGATGGGGAGCCCTTCGCATCGCCACCTACACTCAGGACTCAGCCCCCAGGTCCGTCCCAAAGCCCCAAGCCGGCCTGACCCCGGCAGCATGGAGCCTGAGTTTCCTGATGGTGCCTTACTCTTACACACGTCCAACGTGACGTGTGTGCATATGTGATTAGTATACATGTTGCCTAACTTTACTTCTGAAATTGTTTAAGTTTTAATTATGAAAATTTTCAACCAGTCATAAAAGTAAAGAGAGAGACAAATTGGTAGTTACGAAACAGTCTGGGGATGTAAGTACAGCACAGGGAATATAGTCAGTGGTGGTGTGATAACTGTGTGTGGGGCCAGGTGGGGACTAGGCTTATCGGGAGATCACTTCGTAAGTCATATAAATGCCTAACCACTACGCTGTACGCCTGAAAGTAGTATAATATTGAATGTCAACTGTAATTGGTAAGTTTAAAAAAAAAAATTTTTTACTCTAAATTTAAAAAAATAAAAGAGAATATCGAGCCCACACAACCCATCACTCACCCAGCTTTAATAATTCTTGTTTTAACAAGGATTGCTCAGTGGTTAGAGCATGCACTTACACTCTTTTAACAAGGTTGCCGGTTCGACTCTCGCACAGGATGGTGGCCTACGCCCACCCACAACTAAGAATGAACACGGCACCTTGAGCTGAGTGGCGTGACTAGACTTGGAGCTGGGCCTGCTGCACCCTCCACAACTAAGATTGAAGGACAAGAACTTGTCCGTTCCCCTTCCCCAACTCCCCAACACTGTTCCCCTCCCCCAATTCCCCAATAAAATCTGTTAAAAATAATAATAATAATAATTCTCATTTTCATTCTGACCCTGAACAGCAGCACCACATGCAGCTTGTTCACGGAAGGAGGATTCTCGCCCCACGACTGAAGCTCACACAGTGTCTGAGTATCGTGTCAGGACTGCTGGCCGCTGCAGGCCATGTCACAGCCCACAAGCGTTGGGTCCAACAACCATGTGCAGACCTGGGCGAGGGGTATGAGGGCCCCTCCCCACCAAGCCATGTGGACATGAATGTGGGTGGCCGGGAGAGGGGACAGCAAGAGCAGAGTAGGGGCCATCGCCCTACCTGTACTACCCAGGAGCTAAGAATGGTTTTCACAGTTACAGGTTGAAAAAAAAACAACCCAGGAAACAAGTGTGTGGCAGAGACCTCATGTGGCCCCAAAGGCCTAACCCACCCATATCTGGCCCTCTGCAGAAGACACGAGCATGTGTTCACGGCAGAGGGAAAGCCATTTCCAAAAGTGTAAATGCCGCTTTGCGCACCGGGAACGCTGGCGCACTGACATCCTGCGGGGAAATGTCCCAGGGTCAACAGTTTCTTGTTCAAATAGTCACACAGTGCACGTCCGACAACCAACCTGTCCAAGTCTGGTGAAGAATCTGTACACCACAGAGGGCTTCCCATGGACGGAGTCTCCAATGCTGTCCCCTTCGGACATTCTGTACCTGAGGACATCACAAAATACTTCTAAATTAAATAAAATGCATTCAAGGATTTGATCGCTTTTCACCGATTTTCACCAATACTACCCAGCAGGTTTTTTTCGGCAGCAGCATCTGACCCACACCATTTCCTCCTTCTGTGTACCTCTACTATGAGTCGTCCTGGAAAAAGAAACAAGCTGGCGACACGCTTTGGTGGAAAGCCAGGAAGGCACATCACATGCAAAGCAGCCCAGGGTGACTTCCATTTCTGCTACCGCCACCTGGGTCCCATCCCTCCCATGACTGTGGAGTCTGGGGCCCACCACAGCACGGGCCGCTGCTCCCACGCCTCCCCGGGCTCCCTCCGCACCCCCCTTCTCTCGGCCCTGCCATGGTCTCTGCCCAGGCTGCTCGTCCCGGCGCCAGCAGCGTGTCTCCTGATCCCATCAGGGCCAGGTCCTCCACTCCACCAAGAGGAGAATGTCACATCAATTCTCAGGTAGTCACCTGTCTGTGTCCCAGTTCCTTATCTGTAGTGGAGGTAACCCCATCTGCTCGTAACTATTTCAACATGCTGCTGTGACTCCCTGAGGAATTTACCTGTGCGAACCCAGATGCCCAAGAAAAGTAGGTGTCGTCACCCCATTTTACCAAGGAAGACCGAGTCTTCAACAGGTGAAGCTACTTGCCCAAGGTCAGGGGCGACCAGAGCCCAGCCTGACCTCAGCTCCTGCAACCAAGCAGGCCGCTCCCCAAACATCAGGATGAGAAGGGTCCACAGGACCCGGATGCCTGCAGTCCCTAAGCTGGTGAAGGTGCCTGGGCAAAGATCACTGCTGCCAACCTGCGGGTGGCATCTCCCCAGTCAGGTGCCAAGCGGGGCTGGGGACCAGAAGCTGACTGGCCGAGCCTGTTTTAAAGGCCCCTGAGCTGTGTGGCCACAGGGCCCGTTTCCTCATGTGGAAAACGGGCTCGCTGACCCAGGAAACCCTGCCACTCACAGACAGAAAGCCTAGGCTCACATCGGCTCCAGTCACCGCGTCAGTCTGCCTGTCCTGAGCGGGGCACTGAGAACGTCCTGTCTGAGATGGAGGTCAGCAGGCTCGTGATGTGGTCCCGGGTCTCACAGGGAAATAACTTCTAATCACACACCTTAAACATGAAAATAACCTGAGCAGTCACACCACCAAGTTTGTGTCAAAAAGGGCAACTGTGATCCCATGACACCATTTCCTGGAGCCATCGTGTGGCTGTGGCAGAGTTCCAGGAAGTGTCCAGGAGACCAAGAAGTGCCCTTTGCTCTCATGGGACACACGTCAACCAGCGACACACGACTGCACTCAACAGTGAATGATGGCTCCCCGCCCCCCGTCTTTTCGGAAGGTGCAGCTTTACATTCAACTGGGGAGAATTCTGTATTTTAAAAGGAGCTAAACTATAACTCATTATATAGGATGGCCGGCCCCCAGTTTAGGCCAAAGCCAGGCCAGTAGAAAGCTATATCAGTAATATTCTTTATTCTACAGTTCCCTACAAATTTTCTCTTATTTCACTTTTTTATGACCAACGTGTTTACCATTAAAACCCTTTTACTTGAATCAAGGCAATAAGAGTAATTACTAGAGAGAAAAATACCTGGCTATCCTTTAAAGCATGCACTCTTAAGTAGAAATCATTCTTTCAACTGAACATGGGGGAAACCTTCCAAAAACACATTAGCCAACTTCACATTATCTGACCAACAACATGCATATTAAAACACGGCCCTACATCCTGATTACACTCATCGTCTACGAGTATAACAACATTATGTGAACTTTGGAGCCAAACAGCCTGCTTTTAGCGTCCAGTTCTATCCTTTCCTGGCGGTAAGACCCTGGCGACCACTTCAGCACACCTCACTCCAATCTGTGAAACGGGGCGACAGCACCTTCGTGCCCTCCTCCAGGGACTCTTGCAGGGGTTCCCAGGCCGGCCCTCAGAGCAGCCGCCCCCCACACGCCCTCCAGGCTTGTCCCTGGACCAGGACCGGCCGCACACCAGCGGTGCTGTCCGCAGTCCTCTTCTCTCTGCTCAGTTTAAAGGCCTCCACGACCACCCAGTCCCTTGGGTCACGTCACCCAGGTTTTATTTTGTGTGTAACAATCACTTTCTTATTTTTCCACTAGAGTGCAAGCTCCTTGAGGGGGGCACCCTGTCTGGTCCCCCCGCTGGGCCCTACCATCTACCACCTATTACATAGCAGGCAGTCGGTACAGTATCGGTTGGACTTAATGGCTTTATTCTCAGTCACAAAGAAAACAAAGTAAAAAGCACGACAAAACCACCCCAAGCAGACACAGAGGATAAGCCTGAAACTGTCCGCAGCCTGTCCATATGCCTGGTCCTACGGCCATTACTTGCACCCATTTCTGGAGGCGGTCATCCCCCCTCAAGCGAGAGCGCAGTGCAGGATTCCGTCCTTCTGCCTGGCATTGGGGTCACGGCCCGCTCGGCTCCCACGACCTCTCTCTCCACCTCCCTCACTCCTCCTGGGTCCCGGGCATGACACTGTCACACACCGTCAACCTCTGGTGCTGTTCCCTCCGCTGAAATGCCCTTCCCGACGTCATCTGCTCATCTTGGCAAGGCCGCGCTCCGCCGGGCTCCTCCCGCCCCTGGGCGTGACCATCTTCGAGGTCTCCACCTGGCCCACCTCCTCCATTCCACAGGACCCGAGTCCCAGTCACTGAGGACCCTCTATTCACTCCCGGGCGCTCCGCCTCACGCGTTCCTACGAAGCGTAACATCGACCCAACCGAGCAGAACGCGCTTGGGGAGAACTTCCAGGGCCAACAGGCCGCCGCCTCTCTCTTAAGACACAAGGAAACCGAGCGCAGAGGTTCCTCCGGCGAGGGCGGCTCTGGGCTGTAAGACCCGAGCGGGAGCCCCGTCGGTACCCGGCTTGGAGAACTTGCGACCCTGCCACGTGAGCTTGTACTATCACCAAAATGTCATTTTGAGGAACCCAACTGCACCCTGACGCCTTCCTGCCCAAATCCTACAGGCAAGCCCGGGTAACCGGAGAGGCACGGAGCGGAGCGCGGCCGTGCCCACCCCACGCGGGGGCGGACAGCTGACCCCTCCCAGGACTCGCCAGCCGGCCGGCCGGGGCCCACCGCTGCGCCCACCCCGTCCATCCCGCCCCGCCTATCTCGGCCCGCGTCCGCTGCCCCGCCGCGGCGCCCCCGACCCCCGCCCGGATCCCGCCTATCCCGGACCCCGCCCGCTGCCCGCCCGCACCTTGCGGCTCTGCTGCGGCCGAGCGCGGTCTCCGAGAGCCGCGGGAAGGAGGACGCGGGCGGGGGCCGCGCCGACGCTTCGCTCGGTCCGGGAAGAGGCAGCCGAGCACTTCCGCTCAGTACTGCGCGGCGCCGCCTCCGGGCTTCCAATATGGCCGCCGGGGCGGGACCAAAAGCCTCCAACCATTTCCGCTTCCGGTGCCGGGGCCCAGGCCGTTGGCGGGGGCGGTCCTCTCCGTAGAAGGGTCGTAAGCGGCGGAAATACGCCATGCCGCGCAGGCGCAGGCGAGTTCTTTGGCTCCCGGCCCGGAGTACTCCGCTCCAGAGATTGTTATCGCCCAGGGACTGAGCCCAAGACCACGTCCCCTAGCGACCAACGAGCCAATGGAGGAGGGCTTTGCTGGTTGCTAAGGGAAACCTCTAGAAGCAAGATGGCAGCTGCCAGCCAGAGAAGGCCAACCTCCCGTCTGCAACCCCGCGACCCGCAGGGGCGACCACCGCAGGATGGTAATGACTGCAGGGCCACGGGGCGAGCGGCCGACTGCCCTGCGCCCTACCGGGCCTCTGTTGGGGTAGGAGGGAGGCAGGCAGAGTCCCGGAGCCGGCTCCGGAACCTGCATCCCCGATCCCAGTGGGGCTACCCACGCGCGCCTCCACGGGCCCGAGCTGGTAACCCCGGAGGCCCTGTCGCCCCAGACCCTGGAAAGGGAGCGCCTCCGTGTTGCTGGTGCTCCGCAGGCTGGGCGGGGTTCAAGAGGCCGGGAGAAATCCGACCTGGACGCGCGGTTCAGAGGAGATTGGATAGGAGCTGTTCTTGGGAGTCACAGAAAAGGGACCGGAGTGAGCTCCGAGTCCACGCCACTAGCTTCGGGTAGAAGCTGATCTTTATGGCAGATGCAGTAGTGTGGTGACGCCCACGCGTCTTTAGAACCGCTACCCCCAAGTTGTGCCTTGAAAACATGGGGCTGGTGGCGAGGGGGCCCTGTCCTTTCCGGGAACTGCCGGAGTTGGGAGTTAGGGGACGGTGCGCTCAGCAGCTAACTGGCAAGAGAAGAAGCTGGGCAGGCCCTCCTTGGGCGCAAGTTGGGTTGACCTGAGGGGACAGGAAGCCGTGGGAGGGTTTCCAGAGAAATGGCAGGGCCGGCTCCTTCCCACACCGCGCCCTCACCTTCTTCTGGCTAATGAGGCTCAGCTCAGATGTCCCCTCTCCGGGAAGGCTCCCGACCCTCCTATCAACCCCTTCCCGCACCACCACGTCCCTCAAGGACCCAGCTCCCCTCCCGCTGAGCCTGCTTCTCTGCGCCGAGTAGGTGATCCTGGGGCTTGGTGGGACGAAGGAGTGGACGGAGGGACAGTAAATAGAAAAAGCCCTGACCCCCAAACTGAGCCTCTGGGCAGCAGTATTGGGGAGTTCCCAGGAGGTGAAGTACACACACACCTTCAGAGCCCCCCAAGGGGGGCTGCACACTGCACACTGTGCGGCGCCCCCAGACCGCACCCCACCTGGGTGTTTGTTACACGTCAGCCAGGTCACCTATGTCACGTGCTCACCTGTGTCTTCTTGTCAATACTCAGGTTACGGCGTCTACATATACCCGAATTCTTTCTTTCGCTACGAAGGGGAATGGAGAGGAGGGAAGACACACGGTAAGAAACGTCTGTGGCCTCTTCCCACAGCTGCCACCTCACAGGTGACGTTTCCTCGGGGAGCTTGGGGCAGTGGGTGGCAGCGGTGCCAGCCACACTGGGCCCTCATGCTCTCACTGTTGCCGAGGCAAGGCCATTTCCTGCAGCACTGGGGCTCACGGGACAAGGCGCCCTCATGCTGCCCTGGTGGCTGGCAGCAAGGCCAGGCAGGGCACCAGGGCCGCAGAAGACCCCTCAGCCTGCCATCTTCTCAGGGGCAGAGGCAGCTACAAGTTGGAAATCCTCTATGGAGTATTAGTTCATCTTTGCCAAAGTGAAAATAAAGGCAGTTGCCTTTATGGTTTATTTCTAATGATAAAGAGCTTACCCGCTTTTGCAGAAAGTCACAACCACAGAGGAGAGAAAGTCTCAGTGGGTGTCACCAGGAGGCCTGGCCGGAGGCAGGGCCCAGACATCCCACAGCTCTGCTCACACGGTTTTATGTCTGCTTGGGCCGCTCCCTGTTCACATCCCCTGCCCGTTTTTCTGCTGGAGAATCGGTCTTTTGGTATCTTCTCATATGAGCTCTTGTTGTATCTGTTGGCCGCCCGTATTTTCCATATTTTTAAACTTTTGACTTTCATTGTAGTGTTTTTACACACAGACATTTCTCAGTTTTGTGCTGAAACCTCTAACTCGTCCTCCAGGCCAGGCACAGGCTCGTATCTGAGACTCTTGTCAGAGCCTGGCCCGGACAGACTGGGTCCACATTTTTTAAATGTATTCTTCAGTGTCATCTGTGTCCACAGATTCTCTCCTTCTGCCCTGGTGTGGACAGAGGTGAGGTGGCCGTAGTTGTCCCCCCCACCCCCCGAGAAAGTTTGGGGGCAGGGTCTCTTCTGTACTTTTGATGGCTCTGCAGTTATTCTGGCCAAGACAGCAGGGCGCCCGCTCATGTGTAGGAACATTTTTATTGGTAAATGTGTATGTGGGTGAGTTTGCAGAGAGCCACACATGGAACCTGAGCCCTTTGAAGCCCGGCCATGTGCAGGTACCAGCAGTCACTCCCCACCACTGTCTGACTTCACGTCACAATTCCTTTTACCAGGTCGTGGGAAGCTGATGTTTAAAGATGGAAGTTATTACGAAGGCGAGTTTGTGGATGGAGAGATCATGGGAGAAGGCTGCCGGCACTGGGCCTCATCAGGTTAGCTGTGGAGACGGTGGCGGGCCTGCCGACTCCTTTCTCGTAAACCATCTCTGGCATAAGGTGGTCCCTCCCTTCTGGACGCGGAAGGCACTTGCATCTGTAAACTGGGGACCCCTGGTTTCCGTAAGGTATCTCGTAACAGCAGTGTGCCAGCCTGGGGCAGGACGACTGCCATGCTGCCCACTGCTTGGCCAGGGGCTGTCACCAGACCCTCAGACCTTACAGGCAAGCATGGTGGTCAGTTCTCAGTGGACAGAAGGCTCACCCATGGACTTTAGGGCACGACAGAGGGTCAGCGGAGGGCTGAGTCTGCACTCACATGACTGAGGCGAGGGGATCAGACACTCCTACAGGACAGGGAAGGCGGGTCCAGACCCACCTGACACATTTTCTCTCGTGAGCCAGAGTCAGAAATAAGATAACGAGACTCATCTGTTTTGAAGTGGCACCTGCTGCCACCATTGCTCAAGGGACCGGCGGGAACTAACCGTTGTCCCTCAGGGGACATGGGAGAGCCCTGTCCCTGAATGTCCGTCTCTCCCCCACCTTGTCCGCCTCAGGAAACACCTATTCTGGACAGTTTGTTTTGGGAGAGCCTCAAGGCCATGGCGTCGTGAAGTACAAAGCCGGTGGACGTTACGAAGGGGAGCTCTCCCACGGCATGAGAGAAGGTCTGACGTTCGCCAGAACCCAGTGTGTGTCAGCCACGTGCCAGGCGCTATACGGGGCAGAGTGGCTGGGGGACGCTCGATGCCAGCACCCTTGCCTGATCCCGGATTCAGTGGGCCCGGATGGACTCGGGGACCTGCCCTTGACCAGGGAAGCTGATGTGCACTCAGGTCCCGGAACCCCTGCCCTGGCCTGCCAGACTTTGGAGGTGGGGGTCAGAGGTGACAGTGTGCTCCTCCCCCTGTCCTCGGAACTGTGTCTGCTGCAGTTCACTGTGTGCAGGGCTGTGCCTGCAACGTGGGTTGTGCATCCGTTAGCCGCCACTGTGTGACAAGCCACCCAAAACCTAGTGTCTCCAAAAGACTGCCACTTTATTATTTGCTCACAACCCCGGGTCAGCATTCGGGCCTGGGCTCTGCTGGACGGGTCTCCTGACCACACAGCTGCAGTCACAGGGTCCTTCCTACAGCATCAGGATTCCCGGGGACCGGAAGCACATGCCCTGTTGATGCCTCAGCTCCTTCACGTCCCCCTCTTTCTGCTGGACAGAGCGAGTCCGGAGGCCACACGGGTGGTGGGCGGACTCTGCCCCAGGAGGGTGGGGCAGGCAGCCAGCTGGGCCCCAAGGCCAAAGTGCTCAGCTCCTGGAAGAACTGCCACCCGGAGGCCAGCACAATGGTCACGGCATGTCTTTGCTTTCGTCCAGCTCCTACCCACATAAGAGTCGGAACGCTCTCACGCTTGCGGACTGTCTAGAACCAGAAAATCCCAAACACACACTGCAGGCTCATTCTCACACGGGTCTCCTCTGCCTTTGGACCCAGCCTGTCGAGTGGGTCCATGAGGCCCTTCACAGCCGTAAACAAACTCCCGACAAACATCTTGACCGGTAGCAGCGCTGCCCCAGCCAGACTCAGAGCCCTTCAGCCTCAGTGCGGGGGCCTGAGGGGCCCCTCCGTGGTGGCCCTCCCACCCTCACTCAGGACCTTTGAGAGCCAGACGCCAGAGCCACTTCCACTGGTGTCGCGGCTGCTGGCGCTGTCTAAAATCAAACTGTCTGTCCCCTGGAAGGGCCGCCGAAGTGGGGAGGGTGCTGACTCCTGCAGCCTGGGTGGTGGTGTGTTGTCCTCCTCCTCCAGGGAGGGTCTGCCCGGCAGACGGCCTGAGCTGACGCTGGCCTCTCGACTCCTTTTCTAGGACACGGGTGTCTGGTGGACCAGGACGGGCAAGTGTACCGGGGGTCGTTTCACAACAACAAGCGACATGGCCAAGGGCAGATGGCTTTTCAGTGAGTGCTGCCCCTACAGCCTGTCCCCCACCCCTAATATCCAGTCGCTAAAGTACGGCTGTATTTTGGTGTGATTCTGCACTTTCTCCTTCTATTACTGGAATTGGTTATTTGTATGTTTAGAGGAAAACATTGACACACACCCCCCCCCAATAAAATACCTCGCAGGAAGGTTGGGAGGGTGGGGGTTGGGGTGCGGCCTACAGAGGCTTTCCTTCCTTCCGGCCACAGGGTGGACGTCAGGCCTCTTAAATTCCTGGGCCAGTTTCTCATGCAGAATCCTGCCATTTGAATCTGTGGGTTCACCCCCGCTTTTTCTTCTCTATTGTCCTCTCCAAGTCCTGCATACCTGGGGGCTGGCGGCCATGTTCTTGTCAGGGACGGTGCTTGTCATCGCGCCCTGCCGAGGGCCCAGGCCGCCTGCCCCCCGCGGCTGGCCCTGGCACGGCAGCAGCTCACGGCCATCTGCTCAGGGCCTATTTCTGCCGTAGCCCGGTGGTGCGTGCTGAGCCCAGTGGTGCGTGCTGAGCCCGGTCGGAGGGGCCGGTCTGAGTCAGCGCCACCACCTGGCTCTCCACCACCTGAGAGCAGCCTCTGCGTTTGTCCCTCAGGAACGGTGACAAGTATGATGGCGACTGGGTTCGGGACCAGCGTCAGGGGCACGGGGTGCTGTGGTGTGCAGACGGCTCCACCTATGAGGTAACTGGGAGTCTCACGGGGCCCAGGCAAGGGCCTGGCATTCTTGCAGGTGTAGCTCATGTTCTGCTCTTTGCCCTGTGAGGTAGGGATAGTGACAGTCCTCACTTTATTGGTGACAAAACTGTGGCTTGAGCTGGTTCCTGAACCGCCCCCATGACCCTTTGCTGTCACCCCATGGGGGTGAGGTTCCTGCCACCTGGGGAAGCATTTCTGATGAGAAATGCCCTTGGGCCCAGGTGCCTCCTTGGTGGCATGGGGGCAGTGCAGGTAACCCGTGTCCTCACAGGCCCTGCGCCCATTCCCCTCGTCGTTGCAGCAGGCGCTATCTCTAGTGTCTGGCGGTAAGTTTTAGGCGCTACACATGGGTGAAAGGGTTCAGACACATCGAAACCATTTCAGGCCCCCAGAGTCCATCATTCTTTCTTTTGCTGGACGCAAACCTGTGTGTCTGGCCGGGACCAAAACAAATGGGAACCAGAGGTGGGTGACTCGGCAAGCGCCCGGTCAGCACAGGAGCCTGTGGGAGTAGATGGCCGAGTAGCCCTGTCAGCCCGGCGAAGCACAGCTGGTGGCCAGAGAGCAGCTGGGCAGCCCTCCCTGGGAGCCGTCATGTGCACGGAGACCTGAGTGATGACAAGGAGCTGCCACTTGAAGACTGCAGGGAAGGGCATTGCAGGCAGCAGGAAGGGCCAGCGCGAGGCTCTGAGGCAGGAACCTGCATGGTGGGGGCTGGTCGGAGGGGAAGACAAGGCAGGGAGTCCCCTGGGGTGACACGTGGGCCCTGAAGCTACTGCGGGTCAGAGTTTTATTCTGAGCAGCAGGGAAGCGCTGGAAGGAATTGCTGGGCTGAGCCAGGGGTCGGCAAACGTTTGAGATGGAAGAGCCGCCAGGGGTCGGCAAACTGCGGCTTACGAGCCGCATGCGGCTCTTTGGGTATGTACATGTGGCTCTGAAGTAAAATTGAAAATGAAAATAAAGCTATCATAGTTTCACTTATAAAATGTTTAAAGGATATTATTCACCTAATGGTGATTATGTAAAAGTATATTTATGGCCCTCGAATAATTTTTAAATTGTGAGGAACAGGATTGGCTCTTCCCGGGGTCGGCAAACTTTTGAGACGGAACGAACCCAAAGAGCCGCATGTGGCTCGCGAGCCGCAGTTTGCCGACCCCTGGCCTGACCTTTTGTGTGAGAGGTCCCTCTGGTTCTTATGCGGAGGGCGCTGTGGTCAGCAGGAGGCGCTGGTGGCCTTTGCAGGTGGTTTGCAGCTGAAGACACCGGGCATCCTGGCGGATTGGGTGTTGAGTCCGAGGCAGAGGAGACGGGAGGGGGCTCCTGAGCCAGGTGGGCGGCATCCAAGAGCCACAAGCGAGTGCACCAGGGAGTCACATGAAAGGTGGCACTCTGAAAGGGGGAAAAGCAGAAACACGGAGAAAACATGCAGAGAGGGCCCAGGAGGCCCCCGGAGATGGGGCTTGGGCAGGCCTGGTCACGTGCTGGGCCTGACTGTAGGGCTGCACCCTTGGGAAGGGGCGCCCGTGGTGTGCAGGGGCTTCACCACAGGGGCTGTCTGCGTGGTTGGTTGTGAGGCACCAGCTGCATCAAGGGCCCTAGTGCTGCCACACACGGCAACAGTGCAGAATGGCGGCACCAGGCCTGTCCGTGCCGCGGACCCGCCCGAGTGTCCTGGAGCACTTAACGGAAGACAAGGACCCACTGGGGTCTCTGAAGGCTCAGCTCAAGTCACAGCCAGTCAGAGGAGTGCATGGCAGGTGAATTCACGTCCTTGCCCAGTTTCTCATGTGAAAGCCAGAGCAAAGATTGGGAAGGAATGAGCCTGTGAGATGAGGAAAAAAAGCCCAGACCCTGCAGAGCAGCTGGGGTGGCTGCAGCCCCCGGGGCCGGTGCACAGGAAGCCGCCGCCGGCACAGAGAACTCACTGAGGGCAACCGCCACGCCTGAGGAGTTCGGATTGGACACACTGGACCCAGGGTCTGACAGCACCCTGTGTGGACAAAGCCCAGCATGGCAGCAGCGGGCACAGAGAAACCAGGTCTGGCGCCATAGCACAGAGCAGTAAAGGGTGTGTTTGGGGCTGACATGGTAAATTGGTGACTGGCACAGGGCCCTTATTGGGATGGGGTGGCTGGGGTGGGAGCACAGAAAGCTTCCCAGTGTGCCCTCTGCCCTGCTGACAGAACACAGCCCTGCTCTGCAAAACCACCACCAGGCCACTCCTGGACTGCAAGCCCGTCTAGCCAGTGTCCTCAGTGCGCTCATGGGATTCCACGTCCTCATTGCCACCACCCTGCGGGCCTGGGCTGTTGCAGCAGCCACTTATCCTGAATCCATTTGCAAATGCTGCCGTGACCTGCCAGAGCTCCCGAGGGCGATGTCCTTCTGTCCTCATTGGAGCAGCCTGTGGCACGCCGTGGGCACCATGAGCACCAGCGGCAACATAAGGAACCCAGTCGGAACCTTCCTCCTTCCATCAGCCACCCCACCACTCCTGGAGTCGCCCCCACAGATGTCCACAGCTCGCAGAGTTGGGCTGACCGTGGGACCTGGTTTCTAGTGCAACCCCAGCACCGGCCACCTGTGGCGGTAGGTTTCATGTCCTCAGCTCTTTATACCATCAAACCTCCCAACCCGCAAAGGAAACCAAAGAAACCAAGGCACAGAGGAGGCCCTCCAAACCAGGAGTGGCAGGGTAGCCTCAAGTCCCCGCTCCCACTCGTCCCCAAGACCTGGGGCACTGGCACTGCCTGGGACACTCAGTGCACGTGTGAGGCCAGGCAGGGCTGGCAGGAAGCTTCACATCCTTCCAGAGAATTACGGAAGGCTTTGCCCCCAGCACAGCCCCACCCCCAGAGGCTGGTGTGTCCCTCGGCCCCCTGGCCACCTCCAGGGGCTCACGGGGCATCAGTGTTCCGGCACTTTGGGGCTCTGCTCAGACCTCCTCTGCCAATCGTGGCTCAGTTGAGGGGATGGGGCTATTGGAATGCACTCCACACGCCCGCCCGGCTGGGGCGCCCACCGCCGTCGCACGCCACCAGAGGGCAGCCCAGCCCTGCCAGCAGCCCGTGGCTCCATGTTGATGACTGGCTGGACTTTGGGGGAATTCCTAGGCTGCAGCTTGTGAGGAAATGTGAGAAGGAGGCAGCATTTGCCCTGACAGTGGCCCCCTCAGTGTCACAGGCCACACTGTCCCTCATGTCACAGAATCCTGGTCTTCCAAGTCACGCTTCCCCAGATTCAAGCCGTTGACCTGCATTTCACACTGGTTGCAATGCCGCCCCTTTTGGAGCCTCACACGCAGACGACCCAGCTGTGACCTGAAGCCCTGAGTGCGGCCGGACACACCGTCCCCAGGTCGTGTTGGTGGCCTGGCTGGAGCACTGCCCCCCACAGTGTCCCATGTGGACAGCCCCAGGCCTCTGTCTCGGGCACTAGAGTCCCTGTCAGCAGGTGGTAGGAAGGACTGAGGAAGGTGCTGTCACCAGCAGCACAGACGGCAACCAGAAGACCTGAGCCTGGCACAGTCCTGCAGGAAACACCAGCCCTGGGGTCAGTGACTGAGTTCCCCGTCCCTCCACCCACCTTTTAAAAATGGCTTCTAGAGCCGGCCGAGTGGCAGAGTTGGTTAGAGCGTGAGCTCTGAGCAACAGGGTTGCTGGTTCGATTCCCACATGGGCCAGTGAGCTGCGCCTGAGCTGAGCTGCCAACAGGTGGCAGGGTGGCTCAGCTGGTGAGAGCACGTGCTCTTAACAACAAGGTTGCCGGTTCGACTCCTGCATGGGATGGTGGGCTGGGCCCTCCACAGCTAAGATTGAAGGACAACAACTTGACTTGGAGCTGATGGGTCCGGGAAAAGCACAATGTTCCCTTCCCTAATTCCCCAATAAAATCTTTAAAAGAAATAAAAATAAAAATGGCTTCTAGACTGGTGTGGACGCAGGGTAAGTGGGGAAGGCCTGGCCGACGTCTGGGGACATCCTGGGACCTGTGCTCGCTCACTCCTGCCAGGCTGCATCTCAGGGCCACCAGGATCCTTTGCAGTCACTTGGGCAGGAAAGTAGTCACCATCTGTCACCGCCTGGTGAGCCGTGGTGTGGGTTCAGGACGACAGCCGTCTCGGGCTCCAGTCGCAGCGCAGGCCTGTCAGTGCTGTGGGGACACCTCTTGGGCCTGACCTCCAACCTCGGGTGTGGGGGTCACCTGAGAGCCATGGAGTCCCCAGAGGGAGTTAGGCGCCACACCCTGAGATATGTCTCCCCAAGGGGCAGCTGTTCCCTAATCTTTCCCTACGCAAATATCTAGCCCCACTTTTTAAAAAAATTTATTGTAAAATACACACAAATTTACCATTTTACTCATTAAGTGCACAGCTCAGAGACATTCAGCACACTCTCCCTGTGCAGCCGTCACCACCACCAGAACTTTCCATCTTCACAATCTGAACCGCTGTCCCCATTAGACACTCACTCCCCAGCCCCGGCACCCCCATCCCACCTTCTGTCTCTGGGGGTTTGACCCCCCAGGGGCCTCAGTAAACGGAATCGGGCGGTACTTGTCCTTCTGTGACTGGCTTATCTCAGCAGTGTCCTCAGGGTCCATCCACGTGTGGCCTGTGTCAGAATCTTCCTTCTTACCTTTCGAACACTCTCCCACCATGTGGGTGAAGCACAGTTCGCTTGTCCGTCTGTCCATCCACCCATGGACGCCTGTGAGTGACGCTGCTGAGGGCGTGGTGTGCACGGGCCTGTTCCAGGCCCTGCTGTCGGCTCCTTTGGGGACACACTGGAGTGGGGTTGCTGGGTCCCATGGCCATTCTGTGTAACTTTTTGGGGAGTCGCCACATCACTTTCCCCAGCGGTGGCACATTTTTCCTGCCCCCAGCAGCACACGGGTCCCAACTTCCCTCGTCCTCACCAATACTTGTTTTCTGTCTTTTCGAAAAGAGATGGGCCTGTGCCCTCCTGACAATGACAATATTA